TATAATATTAAGTTGCCGATAAATTTATTGTTTATAATAACTATCGATAATTGAAAATTAATCGTCGATCATACTTGTAATGCGATCGAATATTTAGTAAATATAAATGGGCTGGGTTGCATTTATACCGATAATTACGTTTATCGATTACTTTATACCATGATTTATCAACAATCATAAGTATCGATAAGTGCAAATTTATCGATAATTAGGTTCCTCGATTAGCCGATTAGTAGATTTTTTGACGGTTAATAGTCGAATATCAAGAATTCGCTCGAGTTCTACTAAATAACCGTTCACTTTCGAACAACCACTCACCTATAAGTCGTCTGAAAATTGACTAACCGAAACTATCCGAATAATGACAGTTGTGCACGATAATACAATATATTGTTGTTATTAACGTGGTTGAGTTTTGTCGATAAGTTCAAAAACCCCAATGCTAATTTAACGAAAAAAAACTGGTCCAAATATCCACAATCAACGGTTAGTCGACTACTTAGTTTTTTGTGAGTTAAAAGAGTCGCAAGGAAACGAAAAGTCGATTAAATGAAGTTGACTAGTTTTTTAAATAAGTAACTTTTGCTAATCGATTAACCCATTAGTCGACTAGTCAATTAACAAATACTCTAGTGATAAGTACAACACGAAGTTCTCGTGATCTCTACGCTTTTACATTATTTTCTTTTGTGTTAATGTCAGAGCTGGCTTTCAATTATAATTGGCGACTGGCTGCTGCCGCTATTTAACTAGCCAATCAACAGCGCAAAGGACTCTTATCGTTTGGCTAAATGCGTCCGCTTAGCTCCCTAAAAAAAATTGGATAGCAAAGCCGTTGTCATCGAAAATTTTGATTATTTATTGTCCACCGTAGCGTATTATGAAGATAAGTACATACTACGTACATACATATAGATGTATGCATATTTGCACGTCAATCTTTAAGCCACAAACAAACAAGCAAACAAAAAACACACACGTCTTTTTTTGCAATCGCATTTCGCAATTTTATAGTTGCCCATTTCGCTTGCGGCTCCGCTTCACTATTTTATCTGCACGAAATATTGCCTGCTACTCTTCCGCCATACTACCGAAACCACCACCAAAAATAAGAACTGCAAGTATTTTTTTTCTCTCTCAACCATCTACAAATCCAGTAGTAGGTGCCATTTGATTCTACAGTCTTTTGATCGGCATCTACATACTTAGTAGTTTGACCGCAGATCGGTCCGCCGGTCTAGGCTGATCAGTCAGCAGCTTTACTGCTGAGGCCGTGCGTCGCCATCTAATTACTTCAACTTTCTGCATTCGTTTGCCTTCATTGCGAACGTTTTGCTGCTAAATGAATCAACAAGAGCAGCACAGTCCGCAGTGGGATGTTGCTGGGGGCTGTTTTAAAAAAACCCAGCCTCTGTCTGTTTTCGTCAGCAATTGCAAGCGGCTTGCTAGATAAATTAACTAGCGGCAGTAATCTTCCACAAACGTCCACTTGCGATAATTTAGTGTGCGCATCGCTAATGTCAGATAAGAAAATTGATTGCTACAAAAAATGTATGGCAAATTGGCAGCAACGTTGGCAATACATATTTATGCGGAGTGGAGGGTAGCAATGAAGAAACGCAGTAAGCGGTGCTTAACGACTTAAAACATGCGCCAGCAGTGGTCTACGACGATCTGCATTCATGCTACATATATGATGTGCGTGCATTTCATAAGGTTTATTGACTCTATGGCCAGTCGGCTGAGAAAACATTTTGATTAAGATCTCGTGTGCAAGTAGTGGCAAAGTGAGAAGATTTGATGCGTTCCGGAATCTCGGAATTTACTGAAGATTGCGCAGTTAAATATGGCAAGTACCTCTTTTCTACTAAACTAAACTAAAATCGCTGTTGGAGAAGAAGTACCCTCAAAGAATTCAAGAATTACAAGTACCTAATTTAAAAAAATCCAATACAAGCTTTTATTAGTGGTTAAACAAAAAAAAACGAAAAAATCGACTCCGCCCAACACAAGGGCTAAATTTTTTGCAGTATTATATCTTTCCATTCAAGTAATACACGGCCTAAATATGAACCATATTGAACCAATTGAAAATTTTTTTGTGGAGTTACTCCGTTTATGTAGGTAATATAAATTTCAAATATGAACCATATCTGACCATAAGTACGACTTTTTAAAGTACCCCGACCTTTGCGCCACCTAGAGAATCAATTCATACTTCACATCGCATTGTCACCGATTTCTGAGCTAGGTGTGAAGTTTCAAGTCTCTAGCTCATAGAGAAGTTGGTTAGAAATTGATTGCAAAATGGAGTGCTGCAGAAATGCGGCAAGCGAAAACTTGGGTTGAGTGAGTACTCTTGCGAGCATACTTCACTCTCTACCCTGAGTTCTAATTTGTAGCCATCGGTGTAAATGGCCACAAAATCATGAAACTTGTATCTTTTCAATAGCTCCAGCAGAGAGTTCTTTTTTAGAAGTAATTTCTCAGAACAAAGGGTGATACTACATATATACTAATGGTGATTTCGTATCTTTCAAAAAATTTTGCCCTTTCCTGGTGTAAAATGTGTTTGATGTTACACTCAACCCTGTAAAAGGGCATGTTTTTGCCTTCTTGTCCTTGTTTAGCCCATGCATTTCATAATATTGTCGTTTTAAACAACCATGTGATTTTGAGGGCAACCATCTCCCCTGACAATGCTTCAAAGGGCAGGGAATGTGCTATTTTTATCTTAAAAAAGTGGGACATTTTAAGAAACGAGCACAAAACTTTCTCATCTTATGCCTTCAATTTGGAATCGAACGCGATAAGAGAGAGGGGCAATCAAAAGGCGGCATTTTTTGGTAGAAACGAAATCACCATTAGTCTAACTAAGCACCACAAATTTATAGAAAGATCTACTACATAACCTCGTATGACTCGACTTTATCAGGCCGATTCTGAACAGAAACTCCCTGGCAGTTTTCTCTCTTTTCCCCTTTCCTCCTATCATGAATAAAAATTCCCTGAAGACTTTTTATATTAAATGGCGGAGTTGAGCTCTCAAAAAAGTGTAAAACAGCTTCTTCGAAGTTCGAACTTCCCCCTCCCAAGTTTTCCCTGGTAGTTAATTATAGAAGGATTTCTTTTTCGGGAGAAACAAATTCCCGGAGAACAAATTCCCCGGGAGTATTAAGAATTGGGCTGTATATGTACTATAACTTGGGGTTCTGTCCCTTATAAGCCCACTGTAAAAAGTGAATCAAGGTCTCGATGTCACCAAACGTTCTATTGGATGACTTAGGGGAGTTCGGATTGGACAAGGAATTGTCAATTGTAAGATTATATATACATATATTCAATAAATAGATTTGGTTCATGTGTTATATGGAAGAAAAAGCGCAACACCCTCGACAGAAAAACAAAAAAATCAATCGTAATTTTTAGTTTTTTCAAACTTGCACTCTATTTGTTATACTAAAATTGAGTGGGCTAAAAAAGTGAAAATTTTCAAAAAATTTTGATTAAAAAACAAAAATTTTCTAAAAATTCTGTTTAAACAATTTGAAATTTTGATGAAAATTTTTTGAAGTTCGATTAACTTTTGTGAATTTTGTACAAAGTTTGCAAAATTGGTTTTATGGTTTTTGTTATAGAAACAGCCATATTGTAAATAAAAATTAACGAAAAATATTTATGATGGAAAACAATTTGAATGTGATAGTTAAGTAAATAACTAAAAATAATAAATAAAAATTAATTCAACTTTTTAAATATTTAGTAGAAGCTTGATTTATGTAGTGAGTTACTAGTTTAAACAACAAAAAAAAATCAATACAAATCTTGCGGCTTATTAGAAAACCAAACCTTCCATTCACAGTCGCACTAAGTACAGGTATACCCACATGCTTAAATTAAAGGTTAATTGCCTAACATTGAAAACTGTTATCGAACTCAGTTGGCGTCGATGTCATTGAACGCTGAATGGAATCACCACAGCTAGAAGCAAAAACAAGAATAATGAAAATTGGTATCGAAACTGAAGTAAAGGAGAAAAAATGAGCAGCAATTTAATGCACAGCCGCTTTCAAATGTAACACAATTTATTGAGCGTTCTTAATCGCCTCAGCGTGCAACTTCCTGTAGCTGATTTGGTGTATTTTTTTTTTCAGAGCGTTTTTGGTGTCATAAAAGATTAAAATTATGTACAAACGTGTGTAAGTGTAAAGCAGCTTTTCTTTCATTGCAAGAGAAACTATAACTCACCGGCAGTAAATTCAAGAAAGAGGAGGAGCTGGAGCTGATGATTTGTGTTTTTTGTTGTTTTTTTTTGGTTTTAGATGAAGAAGATTCTGATACTTTTTATGCTGGATTATTTTGAAGTTATTTGATTGTCGTTGTTGTTATTTTGTGTAGTTTTTTTTCCTTATTTCACACTTTAGTTTTGTTGATATATATTTATGTTTGATAGCATGGATTTTGCTTTTGTTGCACTGTGGTTGGTTTTGGCTATTTATTAGATGAAGTAAAAAAGAAAATAAATTAATTGAACTACGAAAAAACCAGTAATTATTTCAGTTCTTTTTTTCACTCAAATGTTTGCCTTAAAGATTTTCTTCGTAAATTTCGAAAGGTGCTCCGCTGGCGGCGATAAAGTGGCAATCACTTTGCGTTTAGCGGTAACTTCTGTTATTAATATTTTTTTTAATTTTTTTTCACTGCAGCTCACAGCGCCATACAAAACACAAACACACGTAACTATTTTTAAATACTCGTATAAACACTTCAAGTCTTGAGGAAGGTGCAGCGCTCACCCAGCAAGATGGGGGGGAAAAAGAAGAAAGCCGAGTTGAAACGGCTGAAGAAGAAGCCCATCAAAAGCATGCAATGGAACCGGAGACACAAGCCAAGCAAAGTGCCAGTAAGCGACCAGCATTACAGCAGAAGAGAAAGAAGTACTTGTATGTGGGAAAAGTAGCAAAGAAGAAGAAGAAATGTAAAAGAAGAAGGAACTGCAAAGCGTAACAACAGAATGCTCTGTTTGTTTTCTTTAATTTAACGATTCTTTTCTTTTTCTTTGATTCCGTTCACCCGTCTCGCTGGCTGACTGCTTTTTGTGGTCTTTGGTGTGCGGTGAGTGGTTTGTGGTTCATGTGTGACTTTTGCGGTGTGGTGCGGTGGCTCATGCGGTCGCTGCGACTCGCTGTTCGCCGCTGGTGCCCACCCCGCCGGTTGTGGGTCGCAGGTGAAGGTGAGTGAGACGATTTGTTGCGCTCACATTTGCGGAACTATCGACAAAGTAGCAGTAGATATGTATGCTTTTTATATCTTACTTTTTTTCTTTTGAAATATTTTTGAATACCTCAACTTAACTCAGTGCACCGCACTTGCTGACTTTGTCATTGTTATTGGTTAAACTGCTGTTATTGCTTTTGTTGCTGTGTTTTAATTTTTTCATTGTTTAATTGGGTTCTTTTTCTAATGTTGTTGTGAAAGTCTCATCGTTGTAGATTTGTAAAATATGTACATAAGTAAGCAGTGAAATAAGAAACGCACAAACGTGTGGAGAAGGCCAGACAGTTGGCACTTGGTATTTTGCGCTTGGCATTTTGCGCTAACGTCCATCATTGAATCATCAATGGCGGTGTTAATTTAATTGTAGGTGACTACTTTTATTACACGTAAAATGCTTTGCTGCTTGGCTGGCTAATCATTTGAAGTGCTTTCAAATGCCAAGTTAGGCGAGGATTTCCATTATTAAGTACCAACGTCTCAAGCTGGTCTGAGTTGGGCCGGAAGTCAAAATTCGCAAATGTCTGTCATTACGAGGGTGGTCCCAAAAGTACCCGACCTAACCTAGAGATGGCGGTAGTTGTTTGAAAAATATCATTGTGTTAAAAAGTACACAATCTATAAAGCATATGTTTCAAGTTTGAAGAGCCCAAGTTGTTTAGTATATGCTTGGCAGCCGTCAATAGTGAATGTTTTCAGTGAATTTGTGAAAATGGAGAAAATTGGTCATCGTTATATGATACAATACTTTTATTTGAAAGGTCTCAGCCCATGCAATATAAAAGCTGAAATAGATTCTAATTTGGGCGGGTCTGCCCCTTCGTTTACAACAGTAAAATATTGGGTAGCAGAGTTTAAACGAGGCCGTACGAGCTGCCAAGAGGAGCATCGCAGTGGTCGACCAAATGAGGCGACGACTCCAGAAACGGTGAAGAAAATCCACAAACGATAATGGATGATCGTCGACGGAGAGTGCTTACTTATTGAGCATCGCTGGGAAAAGTGTATAGAGCTGAAAGGAGATTATGTTGAAAAATAAATATATTTTTTTCCCAAAATTTTTGTGGTTTCATTGTTACTTCGGATAGGACAAATTAAGTGGTTGGTTTGGTTCAAAGAATATGTGTGCCGAGTGGGTCGTCAAAAAGAATGTGGAAAACTGTCTTGCTCCCCTCATAGTTTTTTTTTTATATCTGCAGCATCCACGAGATGGTACTCCCCAATATGCATAGAAGCAACCATTCCCTATTTTTTTCCAATATTTGAGAAATTCTTGATTCTCAAGTGTATATTCAACATTTAAACTAATGAACTAATATTGATATTCAAGCTTTTCTCAAATGGTGAACTCAGATTATTTTGCATGCAATAAATTTTCCCTTTCGTTTGAAAATGATTCGGTTCTCTAATGCAGTTAAACCTGAAAATCAACACTGGAAATTGGAATCTTCACTTGACCTCCAACCCAAATGTTAATTAGTTGCGGTGACATTGGATATGCCCGTTCTTCTAGATCTCTTTAGATCCTACCTAGGCTCAGTTTGCCTATAGTTGGCTTTGTATACATCTTTCATTTGCTAGAGCGTAGACAAATTCTTTCAACAGCAGCTTGCAAGTGTCAAAAAATATACCATTTGTTTCCTGGAAAATGTGTCGTGTAGTTTTTTGAAGAAATTTTCAAAAAACATTCGTAACTCAACTGCCTGAATGCTTTTTAGGTCATGCGCTGCTAGGTACAGTTTTACTAGGAAGCGAACTCTAGACATATATAGGAAGGCCCTTACAATATCATACAATGTGCTTTACAGCTTACTTTTCCTCAGTAGACTACCAGGGCTGGTCAAAGCAAAACACTTCCCGGTTTGTAGGATTAATGTGGCTAGTAAAAAAAGTCTTACTTCTTGTCTTGTCATGGAAATTATTGTTTGCCAGATGTGGCTATATTTCCGGGACTTTGATACTTTATCGTTCAATTTGGTTCTATAAGGGAAAAAGCCTTGAAGTTCTAAGGGTAGTTATACCTTGGAAAACACGGTTCCCACGGTTCTTTTCCCTTGTTCTACAACTATGAGGGTGTATGGGGTTACCATATTGTTACCCTCTGCGTTGTTGTCAAGATGAGTGTGATTGTAAACATTAGAGCCTACTGCTTGATGCGCATCGAGAGCCGCGGTAAGTTCGGCCTGCGAAGACTTCATTTTTGTTTTATTTAACCAGGCTGGCGTGTGCATCCTAGGATGGGTATCAAAATGACTTCGTACATACAACAACCCAATTTAGGTTTCATGTCCCAGTTCTTCCCCAAGTGCTTAGAAATGGAATAATAAGTAGGAGATAACAATACTAGCATAGTACAAGAGGCCTTCGCTAGGCCAAACGCTTACTGGGAGCACAATCTAAAAAGGTATAAACTTCTCATTAAGCTCCCTAACAAAAATTTAGAATCATTACAGGCATCTCCACTGGACATTGTAGGCTCAGAGGACATCTGTTGCTTCTGCGATTAAATTAAGGAGACACCATTGTATTTGCTCCTTGGCGGTGAGTTTATAGGAATAGAATATGTTTTGAGATGAGTGGAGGGCACAATAGACCTACTAGATTTCAGTGCATACCCCTTCAATATATCTATCCATCTATCCAGAATGACACCCTGGCTTTGTAAATATCTTTATCTAGGTTCGAATTCCATTAGAGCTTCTTTTTAAAGGCAACTTCTATGCGGAATTTTAGTCGATATACCTATTTGATGGAAATAAATTTTAAAAGCAGGTAACCAATAACAATTTAATAAAACGAAAAAGTTACTTATCTCAAGAACTCACTGCTCCTTACTTAAGGGGCTGCACACAGATATGTTAAAATAAACAGGCATAAAAACCCGTTTTCTTACTGATAAAGGAGTTATTAGTAAGCAATACGCCACACTAATTGACTTTATATACATATAAGTTGGTAAAAGATTTAATCAGTGCGTGGCTAATCGAATCTCTGGGCAAACATGAACCTAATGTATATTCTCTAACAAGAGAGGAACGCCATAAGAGCTAATAGAGTACTTTTAGGAAAACATATCTTTTCGAAGTAATAAATAGTATAGGTTCCAGTAATTGGGTAGAGGGAGGAAATAGGAGTTCTATTTCTCTTCGTATTTCTACAAAGTTGTTCAGCTTTGTATAAAATGTTGGTAACCTGTTGGTTGGTGGTTCAAGTTCTTGGCGGTAACCGCCACTATCTCTCTAACATAATATTACTTTCCTTTGTTAATTATTTTTTACTATTTTTTTCATCTAAGCAACTTAGGAGCCTATATTTTTCTCCAAGGCAATACCGCAGCTTGAACTTCAATATAATTTTATTTTTCCCCCCTTTGGTTATATCTGAGCCATTCTCGCTTAACTCCGCCATTCTATTGCCAAGCTTTCAATGGTGGTGTGGTTTCAAATTGCCGAACGATGACGCCAGCATTTTGTTTTTGTCTATGTTTTTTTTTTTTGTACACAAACGTCCACATTTTCATTATGTTTTGATTCTATTAAGCAACTGGAAAATTTTGTTAAGCCAAGCATAGAGTAGATTCAAAATAAAAATACATAAAAAACAATAACTAAATACAGCAAAACTTACAATAAAGAAATTAAAGTGCTGATTTTTATTCGAACGACAACAATAACAGAAGCGGCTAGTGGAAAAATGTTAAGGCCAACATTTTTTAATTCATGTATAATTTATAATCATATTTAATAACAAGCGTTAAATTGGCTTAAATTTGTGCGCTTAGCGGAAAAATCGCCTTTCGAGGGCAGGTCGAAAAATTTTAGTTTACGAGTATTTGCAAATAATAGCTGGTATTGTTATGTTTTTTAGAATGGGCTATGGAATGGTGGATGTGTAGTTTACTGAGACGTGCGTATTTTTCAAAAACAAATTACATTGTAATGTCGATTTTTTTTTTTGCTTATATTAAATCTTTTTAGTAGATAATTAAATAAGACTATACATTTTTTATGTGCATTGAACCTTAAGAAAAGGAAAATAAAACAAAATCAAAAATCAAAAAAGTAGTTTTTAGTATAAAAAATTTGTAAATATGTATACCTAAAAAATTACTTTTTTATAAAAAAGTTACTTATAAAAAATGTCTTTTTTTATACTCGAGCGCACTTGTGCACAAGAGTATATTAACTTTGTTCGCGTAACGGTCGTTTGTAACAGCCTATGGGAATCGAGATAGGTATGGACATATACATATGTATATACAAAAATACTCAGAATGCAAAGCGAAATCGATTAAACCATGGCTGTCTGTATGTGCACACGATAACTCGAGTAAAAATTGAGATCTCTAACGAAATTTAGTACGCCTATTTCCCTTAGGCTAAATAAAGTTCAGTTTGTTTACATATAAATTTTTTAGTAGATACAACTTTTTTTTATATATATTTTTGTTAAATCTTTCCTACGGTTAAATTCACACCGACAGTACCATTTTTTCACTATTCATAGAAACATAATTTTTGTTTAAAAAACAATATCAAATATGAAATTTTTTTTTGTTTGATAAACAGAAACATTTTCTATGCCAATTTTCGAAATGGAAAACTTTAATTTGTTTTAACTAAATTTTTAAACTTTTAACTAATCTTAATACTATTTTTAATTTTTTCATAACATTTTTTTTCTGCTATTCTGTGATTTTTCCTGAATTTATAAATAAAATATAAATTTTTTAATATTAGATTTAAAATACCTTTTCTCGAAAATTTATATTTAAAAAAGTTTTAATGAATAAAAAGAATATGTTTATTTTGATAAATAGAAACTTTTTTTCTCCCACTTTTAAAATGGAATACTGTATTTTGTTTTTACTAAAACTCCCCACTTTTAACGGATTTTAATAAAAAAATTTCATAATTTTTTCAGCTATTAAAGCAGTTTTTTTTAAAGATGATGATGCACATAATTGTAATTTTTCGATAATTTTTCAAATTGCTTTAATACATATTTCAATAAAAGTCTATTATTTCTAAAAAACCAATTTTGAAAATAAACAATGTAATTTGTTATTGCAAAATATTCGTACACCCATATGTATGAGTTTAATGAAAACTGTGCTCGAGAAAGCAGTTATAAAAAGTTTTTCGAACTACGAGTATTTGTTTAGTTCAAATAATGTTATTAACACTTTAGTAATATTTATGTTTGTTTTTGCTTTTAATATTGCCAGCAATTATGCTGTTTTCGAATTTTAGTATTTCTTTTTTCTTTCAATCGCTCTAACTGGTTCATGCGTTTTTTCGCGCATTTCTAATACCACAAAAATTTCACTTAGAATCACATAAAAAATGCTTTCAGTGCTTTTGATTTTTTCTTTGCATATTAAACAATTTTTATTTGCACTTTCACAACAAAACTAGCGAGTAAACACGCACACAGTCACACACAATTCCATTTGTGCACACTCGCTTAGCAAACTCAATGCAAAGTAAATTCAAAGACGCGAATTTGTGTTTATTTCTTTTTTGCGCCACATTAAAGAATTTTCTGCACAGAAATGTGAAATGCAAGTACACAAATTGTATGCATACTCTTTATTTAATAGACGATTTTCTATATTTTTATATTATTTTTTCTTCACTGGAATTTCGTCACTCACATACACCCAAAAATTCGCAGTGTTCAGCTTTTCGTTGTTCTTGTAATAAAGTTAAATATATTTCCAACAGTTTTAACGTGCAAAATTTATTTTTGTTTTCAGCTTAGTCCATAAGAGGCAGCAGACGCTTTCTTCCATCCGCTAAACACAACCAGCACTGACGGCGTACACGAAGAAACTGAATCGCTGCAAACCAAAGACTTAAGACACGAACCTTCATTCGGGTGCCAACCGAGAAGAAGGTGTGTTGATGAAAGCGTATAAATGCGAAAACGAAGAAGCCACAGACACGGCGACTAAGGTTGAAGACGAACAAGTTCCAGAATAAGTGTAGAAGGAGAGACGTGGACGAAGCAGGAAAGGTGTGAGGTGGTAATAGCAGCATTAAAAGCTAAGCGGCTAACAAAGAATGCCTAAGAGAGAGCCGCAGTGGTGCGTACAGGTGTGCAGAGAAGGTACACACTAAGCATTAGCTCAATGTTTTTGTTTGCTGCTATGTATTTCAAGTTTGCCATTGCCTTGTTGTTTTTATGTGTTTTTGCTGTTCGTGGCTGTTAAATATATGTTTTGCTAGCGATTTCTTTCCACTTTAGGTCTTTTCTACATCATTCGTAAAATTTGGATTTTCCTCTCCGAGTCTTTTTAGCTATAATTTTTTCCCCCATTCTGTGTACACTTTGCGGCTAGTGCAGATGGTTGAACAGCAATTTGCTCAATTCGCTATTTTCGCCTACTGCAGAAAGCACCGACATACAGTGCTTCACTTCCATATAACATGTGAGCAAAAATAGAATTATGGATGGATATAAATGAAGATACGCTTCTTAGTAAAATTGAGTATTTTCAAAAGTGAGGTGTCAAATGACAGGGCTTGGCCTGCATATGTGCAATAAAGTTTTATTTTTTTGGAAAGGGTTGCCACCTGCTACACATTTTATTAAAATTATTTAATAAGTTAAATGAATTCGATATTACAATATGACACGTAGTAGGGTTGCCACATGTATAAAAAATTAAATTCACTTTAATTAAGGGAATAAGGTAACGGAAATATGTATATCAATATGGGTATCAGACAAAAGAATAAATTTGACATATTTAACGAGAAATAAGTGAAGAGTAAAAACATTCCAGAGTCAATTTAAGAGTCCAGTCATTTAAAAGGAATGTAATCAGAGCAAATCACTGATCAACAGTGTATGATTTTAGTCTAACTAAATTTGACTTTACAAATAGGTGGCAGCCCTCTTCGTAATATTTGCAGGCTAACACCTTCTTAAACTTCTTTCGTCTGACTCCCATATGGTGATACCTATCTATTTCAATTACTTTAATTCAAATGGAATTTGTTTTTTTAATCAGGTGGCAACCCTCTATATGTGTTTGAGGAATAAACCCTTTTCATGCACATTTCGATTGACACCCATCTCTTAATAATTCATTTAACTTTAATTTTAATTTAATTTTTTAAGGGGTGGCAACTCTTAAAAAAAAATAAACCTCTATTGTCTACAGGTCAAGATTTTTTATCTGACACTTAATTTTTGAAAATAGCACGATCGTGCAGATTTGATGGCACTGACAAAAAATGAAAAAAAAAGTACATTTTATGCATTAGCAAAAAACGCATTACTTCAAAAAGTGCAAAAAATGAGTATGTTTTTATTGCTTCTTTCGAAAGCTAATAAGATAATAAAAAACCACATATACGTATATTTTTTTTAATTCCATTAAAATTTGCCATTTTGTGAAATTTTGATTAAAAAAAATTGTTTATTCCAAATTTTTTATTCCTGTAGTTCTCCACTACCTATATGGAAACAAAAAACGTCAAACGAACATTTTATTTCAAAGAATGTATTTTTATTTTTGACATTTGTTTCCGTGAAGAGCTTACGCATGGGTATGCTCTTATTAAAATTCTCAGTATAACATTTGTCCACTTTAGCGGCTTCGTGGTGGCATATAATTTATTTTGTAGCGAAATTTCTGTTTAATTCTTTTTAGTGGATAAATTACCTTCACAAAAAAAAACCAAACACGACGTTCACATTGCAGACAACGAATTTTTCGATTTTTGCCCACTTAGGCGGCACTGTGCGACAGTGCGTTGTGTGCCAACACGAATGCAGAGATGTCCGAAAATAGTGACGAGGTAAATATGAAAAAGCGAAAATACAAAATACATACGTAAAATTGAGTGCCGCTTATATTCGCTGAGTACTAAGCAAAGCGAGTGTGTAACCACACGAAATTATTATCGTACACTGTCAACCGAATTCGCATGGTAAGCTTTGCTGCTGTTACTCACTTGTTTTGCTGACTTTTGTTGCTATTATTTCTGTTGAGAGAAAACGAAAAAATTTTATTTTTAAAATAGTAAAAAAAAAAAAAATATTAACTGAATGAAGCGCTGAGAGCGCGCACAACAAACTTGTGTGCAAAAGGTGATTAAATTTGAACCATCCAATAAAGTCAAATTGAAACAAATTTTATGAATTTTGAATCGTTTGTTTATACTTCTTCACACTATAGCACCTTAAAAGAGAGCCACACTGAGTTGGCGATCACACCTTGTTTAATACACCTTGCTTGTGTGTACTAAAAATTTTCGAAGCATAAGAACGGCGTGTAATGGCGGAGTAGAAAGCTAGCATAACAAAGTCAGTGAGTGTAGTTAGTACAAGTAGTAATTGGATTTTCTAGCATGAGAAATGACTACAAAAGAGAGTGAGTACGCTTGTGATTTTATTTGCTGATGCTGCTATAGATCAAGACTAAGAACATAGTGGAACGGAGATGAAAAAGGTCGAAAGGTTACAATTTTAGTCGGTGCTTAAGTGAGGTAAAAAACGAACTGAGAAAAGCTGAATTGAAGAAAATTATTTTTGAAGAGTGAATATTTCATGTTATAAGCTTTGAAGCCATTTTACAGAAATGTCAATATGAAGTCATATCAAAATTTAGTGTCTTCAAAGTAAAACTTCACAGCAATTATCTGGATAGCACAAAATCTTTTTTTTTTCAAGAAAATGGATTGGATGGTAAATGCCAGCTCTCCTTTAGTTCAAAGCTATATAGCTAGAAGGAAAGTTCGTATGAGCGACCGATTATTCACGACTCAAAAGGAATACCGGATGCCGCTAAAAGAATAAAGCTTTCGTTTTTTCGATCACTGAAAAAGCTTTGCTTATGGTTGATTGATAACCGCTATAGTGTTGGGCAACCTTAGCAAAAAACGCAATAAAATGTTGATTAAAAATATATATTTTTGCAGCGAAATATAATACTAGTACGATATATATACTATATACATATATTATAGTGTGTATCAAAACTTTACGACACTCACACATTGACAAGATTTTACCATTTATCTTAATAATTTTTTAATTATAGTTATTCGTGTATAAAAATAAAGTATATTCTCTAACAAAAACCATATAAATCCAAGTTTCAATCTTTGTGCAACATTTACAAAAAAAAATCAACAAACTTTCGTAAAAATTTCGAGCTTTTTAATTCGATTTTTTGGAAAAGTTTGCAGTTTTGTAGCCCATTCAATTTTAGTACAATAAAGTGCAAGTTAAATAAAATTATATTTTAAAAAACTAAGCCCTCGCTATTATAATTTCCATTCGTACTGTCATCAGGTATGTAACTTGAGAATAGAAATCGCTGCATCTTTTAGGCGCATCAATATTACATAGTTACACCCCGAGCTAATAAAAGGGAGGTAAAAAAGCTGGGACTTACCGTTAAATTTTTTTAAATTTTTTTTGTTGAGGATGCCAGTCATTTTCTTCCATACACAGAACTTATGTTCAACGATTTCTTTTATATGGAGAAAATGAGCAATAGTTTTACAATATTATTAAAAATAACAAGGAATCCATTTAAAAATTATGTGGTCTCATTTACTTATAAACATATCGAACCCTAACCGCCAAAAACCGTTATCGAAATATTAAAAATTTTTTTTTTGATGCACAAAGCCTTTTCCCAAATTTTTTCGTGAAATTAAACGAATATTGTGTCCCCCTAAAGCAAAGCCGGATTCATACAGCGTCCTACTTAAAAATTATGTTGCCTTCCCTTAGGCATTTTAAAAGTTGGCAACCCTAACTGAAACCCACTTTACCATTAAGTACTCCTAACTCTCATCATCAACTATCATTAATATCAAAATCGTGTATCATGTATATAGGTAGGCACAAATGAGTGCGTGTTCTGAGCGAAATTTTATTACACCGGGTAATACATATTTAAATATTTAATATAATAAATATAGCAAACATCTAGGCCGATAGTCTTGTTAGCTAGTGCGACTAATATTCCCTAATATAAGAGTTTTATCGTGGAGAACTCTCCTTAATTTCAAATTATCTTACTCATCCATCTCATCGAAAATCTGAGACCAAACCCCCTTCCTTTTTATTTTCAGGATCAAGATGTCATGCGTTCTTCACAAAGCGCAATTGCCATCGGAATGCTACCAAACATTTACCTAGTGCAGCAATACTTCGGCTTAAGCGTGCTTTTCTTCGCCACTCGTAAGATTACGCCAGGGGGGCTGCAGCTCACACACCGAGCGTTTTATGTGCTTCAGTAGTAAGCAAATGGCGTGGCGCACTTACGGCGGATGGACACCGGGCCAGATTGATAACCTGCCAATCCAAAGGCACCTATGAAAACCAACGTAAGAACTGTAGTTCCGGATTCCAACTTCGAATCGTACAAAAGGCGCATGCCGCAAAGCGCAAGAAACTGTGGCGGAAACCCAAATATTGACAAAAAATACAAAAAGGTCACACTTACTGAATTAGTAAAAGATAACAGAAGAGCAATAAAACGTTACATATTGGGGCTTATTTTTAATACCCTCAATCTGCAGTTTTTACAAAAATTTGTTTTTAATATTAAAACCCACTGTGGTCGATAATTTTTTTGTTATCTTTATGTATAGCTTCTTGATATGTTAAATGTTATGTAATCGATTACACCGTGCGACAAAAATAAAAACATTTCAAAACACACGAAAGAATCGATGTACTCAGGACACTATGGGCCAAATATAGTAAAACTCCGTTTTTAGTTTTTCACTATGACGTCAGGATTTTTTTTTCAAAGGACTTTAAAATTTTAAAGGTATGATTAATTCAAAAAATTATTAAAAAAATAGTGCAAT